GTTAAAGGTCTCCTCCCTAGCCGTGAAACCGAGGAATTTCCGGGGCCTAATGATGAGATATCTGTAGCGACAGATAACGCTCATGTGTTGCCTCCAACTAGTTCGACACGACAGTCTGACGATTCTGACCAAAATCGTCTAGATAGAAATAAGGAATTACTCCAACGTATTGAAATGGTAGAGCTATTGAAAATTCTAGTTGCTGAACTTTTTCTCGTTTCGACTTTTTTCTACCGATAAAATTCTTTTCTTACAGGAATATGCTGGCCTACATTTGAAGCTGAGGCGCATCGCAGCTAAACCAACCAGAGAAGCTGAGCAATGTTTGAACGATGCCCTAAGCTGCTATTTTTGGGGGGAAGGCGTCGCCACACAACTGAAAGCAAGCTTCTACATTGGCTCCTCCGACAAGGAATGAGCCCATTATCGCAACACGCCCGGAACTTCCCTCGTGCGGACCTGTACCAGCCGATGCACAGCCGATTCGACTAAAAACTGTGAGTGAATTTGACTACCTCAGAGTGTCACTTTGACTGGTGGCTCTAAGCATACTTTTTTTTTCCAGACCTCATCCATCAACAAAGCTAAGGAAGCCAGTCTTGCTGTACCCAAGGAGTTCGCCTCAGAAGATGTTAGAGTGTGCGGATTTTGTTTCCAAGAGAATCCGTTTAATGATGATTGTGATATTGTTTACTGGCTGAAATGTTCCTCCTGTAACACTTGGGGGCACATGGGCAACTGCACTGTAGTGAGTGCTAAATGTACTGTTTGCACTAAGGGAACAATGGAATTCAGTGAGCAATAGATGCACTGTTTGATCACTTAGGATCATATTGAGTGTCGTATTATGTTTCTGTTCATGCGCTTGTTCGCAAAGAATTTTATTGAAGGAGTTATTAATTTGGCATAATAAAGTCTTATGACCAAGCAAAAGTAATGAAAGGTGTAATAAGAAAGAGCAAGAAAAAAAGTGGAAAATTATCTTATTCTGACAAGGGTCCAATACTTGAGAACATCTATATTATATATTAAATTAAGAATTCCACGTAGCTAAGCGGACATCTCTTAAATTGCTTCTGTGAAACAGAACTCTGTTGTGTTTGATTTCCCATCAATAGGCTTTTTCTGATTTAGTGGGCCAGTCATCTAGTAACAAACTCCCAGACGGCCTTCACTACTGGAACCTTAAGCATGTAAAAAATTAACGGATCTTTGAAGGCATATCAGTGCGTTGAACGATACATCATGACGGGTATGACATCCCTTTTAGCGCAGGTGCTTTCAAGTGTCAATTTCATCCCAGTTGCGTCAAGATGGCATCAAAAAGTACCAGCAGCAAGATTGAATGTCATATTACTGACCATAATAAAAAGTGTTTACTATACATCAGTTGAAAAAGTGTTTAGTTATACCAGGTGTTGCGCAGAATTCGTGCAAAATTGTACAAAATGGCGCTGAGGCAAGGAATAACCACCACATTCCTTATAAATGTTCCGAACCACTCCTGCAGATGGAATTTCGGAAGATGAAATCTCGAGAACCTGGGGTACAATAGTGGAACATGCTTTATTGTAACAATGTGCACTCTTTTATGCGATCGAGAACTGATTCAAGATATTGAGAAATCAAAAAACCTTGTATCAACCTCTCTGCAATTTAGAAATGCCCCCATTTCCTTACATTCAAGCATTTACTCTTCTTTTCACTGAAATCTTTTGATGTGTCTCAGCATCATTGCAAACTTAAGCAACTCGCTCAAGCTGTTCCAGCAATCACTGGCCTCGCAAATCCTTTTTCCAACTTGCGAAAAGAGTAAAACGATAATAAACGACTGATCCTTGCGTCACTCAAAGGGCGCTCCAATGCTTGCTTCAGCGCGCACCAATGCCAATGCGGATTACGGTAACGGTTATTCGCGGCCTCCCTTATCCGTCTTTGTGTTAACTAAAACTTTTAATTCCCAAAAAAGGGGGTCATCCAAGCATGGTAGATGTTTACGCGAGTTTTGATAATAAGCAGCCCAAGTAATTGTATTAGTTATCCAAAGGTCATTCGGCTGCTATACTTTGTTAGTTCTAGAAAAATGATGGATGTTTATTGGTATTGGAGCTATGAGAAACCTGGGAGATGTGCTGACTTGCATTTCACTTTCCTGCACAACGTCCCACGAAGGATCCGAACCATTCGTGTTTCAGCAGGGTGTGCAGCACTAGCCGGTAGATCGAAGGTGACATTGCAACATGCGAGCACACTAGCCCTAGTCTGACCAGCGCTCAATTCCGAAAGTGCTTACTTTGAAAGAAAGGTATATTTCGTGTTTCTTGAGAAAGTCCTGTCCGTAACAACACTATCCAGCCGCAGCCCAAATAACGAACCTGCTCTGAGTTTAGGAAATAATCTCTTTGGGGCACTTGCGCGCCATGGTGGACGACCTCTCCTCACTACTGGAGGCTTGTGCTCTGTCGAAGAGGCACAGTTTCAGATGTGAAGGGTTTGGTAATGGCATTTTGTTTGTGAAATTCTTTCAGGAAAGGAGCCATCGATTCATTGATTCACGTTTCTTAAGGGCGGAAATTGAGCAAGTAGTTTTGGCGCACCCTGTAGATCGTTTTACATTCCACTACCCCTCAGAATCGTTGATTCTCTGTGGGTGTAACCAATATTTGAAGGTATTCTGCTTCATTATGACGTTTACAAGATGCTCTTTACGCGTACTTTATGCTCAATGTTCTGTTAATGATGGAAGGCGTTTTTCTGTGAGGAACTCTTTACTCGCCAGTCACGACATAGGTACATACACAGCAAAAGTAAAAATGCATTAAAGAAATATTAACGTTTGTTTTATCGTCAGTAGACTGAATTTGTAATAGTGATTTACAAGTTCGCAAATTATCACATTGAACACAGCTTGCTAAAAAGGTCAATAAGGAGGGTAAGGATAAGCGCCAGCGCCTCGCTGCTGAGGCCATCCACCAGCTCCGGGATATGCTTGCTGCTGGGCAGCAGCCGGATATGGGAATGCTTGGCCTTGAGCGGCAAATGGATATGGAGGAGGTGCAGGTGCTGGGTGAGGAAAATGTTGGTGAGGTGGGGCTGCTGGTGGTTGAGCCGGGTTAGGGTATGGTTGAGGTGGAGGAGCCATCGGTCTTTGCATTCCTTGTGGTGGAACAACACCTGGTCGTGGGGCAGGTGGAGGTGGAGCTAATGCTTGTTTCTGATGCACATGTTTTGGTGGAGCTGCAGGATTGGGATGAGCAGGAGACTTCTTAACACCAGGCTTATGAGCATGTGCCGGTTTAGCCGGGGTGTGCTTGGGAATAACCGCTGGTTTTGTGCCGCCCGCTGGGCGAACAGCTGCTGGCTTAGGAAATGCTGGAGGTGGAGGAGCTGGCGGATAAGGAGGAGCAAGTTCGGGCTTCCGAAGTGGCACGACGGCAGCACCAGAGTTATCGTAGTAGTCTTCTTTGGACAATGTGAACGTCGGTGCTGCAATGAAGTAGTCGTTAGGATTGGAGCCTGAATTACTTCGAGATAACTTGGGGCCGTATGCTATGCTTTCGGGGAAGGGGATGCGTCCCCTAAGTCGTATGCTATCCGTCCCCGAAGCTCATTCGGGGAGAGGCCACGCCCACCGAGCTTCGGGGACGCGTCCCCCTACCATTATCGTTGGGGGAAGCATCCCCGAAGGCTAGAGTAGTCGCCGCGGCGCGCACTATTTTCGCTGGAGCACATTATTTTCTTATGGGAATTACATATTATCCTGAAGCTGCGCTTCATTGAAGCGTAAAGAGGATTATGCTGCAAAGCATCGGTGGCGTCGTTGGTGTCTGCGCAAGATGCAATGGATCATATGTCCATGGCTGTGATAACAGCTGCTAATACTGGTTCAGCGCTATGGATAGAGGGAAAATTCTGTAAAAATCAAGAACCATGTTCCACTCCAACAAACTAGGATCCTGCGCTGAAAAAAAGGTGCATGCGTCTTGTGCAATATACAAATTCATGCGCACCTGTTCACTACGCATCATGTTTAGATAGGATAGAGATTGCATTTATTTACTGATTTTGTAAGTAGAGTACTGTGTTGTTGGAATATCTGCTGTCAATTGAGTATTACAGTTATACAGCTCCTCTTCTGATCCTTACGTTCATGGGCGTACTAGAAATTAGGGTCACAAAGCGAGCGGTAGGGAAATTGATAAAATTGCAGTTCATAATCGGGAAAAACACGTTCTTGGTATTATCAAACGATAGAATAAAGCACTGAAATGGATTTAAAGAAGAAATAACCTTTCAGAAAAAAAAACGATCAGTCATATTGTGAGTAGAACATAGTATAAAGAAGGGTCGGCGCAGTGCACCTAAAGTATTCGGAACCATGACAATATTCTCATTTCCGTGCTCATTCATTTCCCCGCTTGCACAAGTACCCACCCTCGAGCTCCCTCCGTCTGTAGAAATGTGATTACTGCGGTAGGGGAGAACTGTTGTACCACGATACCTCTCCACAAAATTTGTATTCATAAATAATATGGATTTATCCTCACATAGTATCCCTTATTGTGTCTCGATCGAATAATAAAACTGAACGCAGCTAACAGGTATTCACTTGTTAAACGCAATTGCATGCGTGGCTTCAAGGTCATTCGAATTTCGCGCTCTATAAGCTCTGCGTCTTTTCTCCCCGAATGAATTTCGGGAGCATAGCATACGCCCTGCTTCGGGGACGTCTGCTTCGGGGATTTTCCCCGAAGCAGAACTCTTCCCCTTCCCCGAAAGCATAGCATACGGCCCTAGATATAATACTTACGTTTATAACCTTGATCGCCACTTGCAGCCGTCCTGCTTTCACTACTGCTATCTTCACTACCGGCCGTTTCGTGCACGGAATCACACTGGTTATCCTACAAAAAGCTCGAAATGTACATTTATACATAACCCTGTGAAGTAATTCATAATTTGCTGACAGTATCGACTTCATCTTACCTCGTCCTCTGTTAGACGTTTCTTTTGTTCCGCCCTGTCTGAAAAATGCAGTTAAACCTCTGAGCAGGGTGAATATTGCTTGAGGATTCCTCAACGGCACGTCGAGGATTTTCGCCTGATCCTTTACGTTCTCGCGCGCGGATATTCACTCTCGCCACCCGCGAGCCGTCTGTGCTCTCCGCGCGTACATTCACTATCGGCTCTACTCTCGCACAGCAGAGAGCGATGGTCGAGGAATTCCTCGACCGTTATTCACCCTGCCTCTGAGTATCAGAGAGAAAATACAGCAGCGTGAGTCGCTAAACCCCCTCCTCCGGGAAGACAAAACTTTGGCACTGCGTCTGAAGTAGAAAGCAGCATGAAGAACGTTTCTGGGCGCTATCATAAGATAGTAGGGATGGTGAAAGTGGCACCTTTGTAACAATGGCAAATTTTTGCTTGCAAACGCTTAGTTGAGGCAAGGGCTCAGAAAGGGGTGAAAGGGGTCAAGGGGAAAGACTCCAAGGTGTGAGCAGCTCTCCTTTTCCCGGAATTGCCCCGCTCTTAGGCTGAGGTTGCTCTCTGGGGATCACACTCGTCTTGCTAGCCCCGCTTGTGCCTAGAAAAAGTTGAACCATGTACCTCCACAAGCCTGCGCCCCGATTGTTAATCTGACAGATGTGGATCTGATAGATATGATGCACTCACAGTACCTGGGAATAAGCCTCAGAGAGGGAAAGGGAATCTGGAAGAGCATGACAAATTCAGTTCTCCCCCTTAGTTGGGCTTGGTCCTAGTGTCATGTAAGGACGATTTTTCAATGCCCTGTTTCGAATACCCCGACCCCACAAAGGAAATGAGCGCCGACATATGCACAGTTTCGCCACAGAAGCTCTCAAAGCTTACAAGTTCTGATTCTATCGTAGCACCATGCTGTCAACTTACCTCCTCCTGCTTTGCCTCTGAAACACAAACTAATCAAAGGAAGTATGATTCCGGCCAACATCAAGTACATGAACAAGTGTAGTAACATCCTGACCTAAAAACTTTGTTTTCAGACCTAGTAATATGTTGGTGACTATTATAAAGGTGGAACCATACCTAACCATACACTCTTCTTCTGAGATGATCAACCGGTTAGTAGCGAAGTGACGAATGAAGTGGGTCGTAGCTGTACCACAGCTCATGTTTACTGATGATGCAAGATCATTTCAGAATCATGAGAATCTGTTTGAGATCACATGTTTTGTTCGGTAATCTGTGGCCGATATATCAGAGACGGTGAGACTCAATCTGCCACCTAAGGCCCCCTAAAACGTGGAAGGGTCAACCGTACTATTCGAACGGGGTCGCATGTTTTAGTTGACAGAGCAGGGTTGTGGGAGAGGGGTCACCTTGACGGGTTCTTGAGAATTTAGCGAAAACTTCACGAAAGGAGAGTGAAACCAACAAAACTAGAGCGTTCGCGGTTGCTTAGGACTGCCCTAATTGAAAGACCGCTTTAGGGAAATCGGGCGGATTTGGAGCGTATCGAGTGGTATCCTAGTCGAATACTATGGAGGCGCTCATGATGGTGGATAGTAAGAGTAGCGGTATGTGGTAGGACCCATTGCCAGGTCATAGGAAGCAGGTTCCCCCCCCCCTCCCGCCGCCCTTAAGCCTGATGTTGGTGGTGATGGGGATCGTATAGAGGGCTTGGAATTTTCGAGAAAAGCCGAGCACGACGGTTGATTTCGGGTCTGGGGGTCAAATCCTTGATTGAATGTCGCTGAAGTCAGCTATGCATAGGTGAAATTAGGTTAAGTGGCACAATACTTTTTTTGGAAGATAACAATATTGAATCCATAACCATGCTCAAAATCGACATGGAAGTAGAATACCTGAAACATCAAAGAAGAGGAGAGGGTTGGTCAAGCCTAACCAGGAAATGCTTTGAAATTCCCATGGAACTTTGGAAGGAGACCTAGATATATCGATAGAGTCTTGAACGCTGATTACAAATATGGACACTAAAACTGCTACGTGAACTTCCTAAGAAAGTTATGAGCCTTTA